CCCCCCCCCCTTTCAACTAAAAGATGAAAATATGAACAAAACTATTAAAACCCCCAGAACTTCCCAAGACCAATTTTACCATGTATGCTTCTAACTGTCAGGGTAACTGATGGTTCAAAATCTTCTTTTTAAAAGGGAATATTGGTAACTCACTCACTGATAATTACTTATGTAATGAATTTATATTTGTGAAGCAATCGGTATATGTCAAGTACCTGACAGCACAGCTCTTAAGAACAGGGAACTTTTAGAATTACTAAATTAAATGTGAGCATGTTAATTGCCAAGGCAGTTGAAAAAATCATGACCTATGGAGATCTGTATAGATTAGAAACAAATTTTGGAAACAAGCATCATAATGTGGAGATGGCAGCATTAATTATTTGAGATGAGGTAATTAAATGTGTGCACATACATATTGAGTAAAAAAAAGAATCCTTTCAAAAAATACAGTGAGAAGAGCATAATGATAATGAAAATAAATTTGAACAATAAACCATTGAATTTTAAGATTAAATTCTTCATAAAGGAACAATTTCTTCAGAAAAGATAATGAAAATATGGCTATATATGACATATAGTTTGGAATATTGTTTTTAGTGAAAGTATTTTTTTACTTTCTTCAACAATTCTTTTTTCTTTCAAGTTGGTAAGTTTACTTCCCATCCCCTCATGCCTGAATATGCATGTGCAGTGTTTTGGTCTTTGCTACTGACTCTTCAGTACTTTCTAAGAGGTGGGGGAGTGGCAAGACAAAAAAAGGGACAGAGGAGGAACAAATAACAACAATCTATGTTCCACAGATTCTTCTTGTGGCAGCCAACATCTAAAGATAACACTTGGCAAGTAATGATTGCTTGAATTTGTATTCTTGTTAAGTAAAGTAGCCTGCCTCGTGTTCGGGGTTCCCCTTGTTTCTCCTCTGTGCAATTCCTGTCGTACTTCTGTAAGTGCGAAATGAAATGATCTACAGTAGGAAAACTAATTTTAGTAACAGAGTTTAGATTGATTAGCTGTTGCTTATGAGGTATTACTTGATTTAGTGATCTGTGAGCAACTTGAGATCTGTTTCATTCATTGTACACTAAAGCTTTTGACTTGTAAATGTCTTTTTCCAAATTGTAGTGTTTCTGGATTCATTTAATGCCATATTTTCTCTTTTAAATGAGATTCTTCAATCTTATATTTCCTAACCTTAGGCTGCTGGATAATAGTAATAAAACCAAAAATGTCTGCCATGGAGAATCATATTCCATTTGGATATTATTCCACAGATTATCATTAGAATTATTTTAATGTTAAATTTCCCTTTTTCACAACACTTGTCCAAAAGCTCTTAATTCTGTGGTGCTATGATGAATACCGTAGAACACAGAATCATTCTGTTTTTTTCCATTTCACATAAAAGCTTTGAAATCTAAATGTGAGGAAGAGTTAGCCGGGATTGATCTGGCCCTGCCAAGTTTGGCCATGTCTTTCCATTGACTCTAGTGACGGTTAAGTTCATATAAATGTTAAGGCATCTAACTTACTGCTTTCAACTTTTTTTTTTCTGACAAGTTTGCAAGTTCTCATGTTGGTGTTAATTATTGTATATGCATGCTGGAGAAGTTTTTATTTAAGGAGTAAAAAAAAAATTTCTCACTTTACAAGTGATAAAGCTTACATTTAAGTGACTTTAAACTTGATTTCAATGTGACTACTTGCAATGGTGGTTGTAGATGTAAATGCTTCACTTTCAAATTTAGAATCCTAATTTTAACACAACTTCATTCAGAAGCATTAACTATATTACAAAATTTTATCACAGGTCTGCAACAATAAGGTTTATTATTATAGATATGCCACAAGATGTTTGGTGTGTTTTTTTTTAAAAAAAGAAGACTTAAAGAAGCAAGTCCTTCGAATGTTTTCAGTTGCACTGTAGTTTAACTGATGATATGTATGTGTCTCAGGTTGTGACCAAGACAATCGGTTAGTGAAATCTACATCTCAAAGAAAACCTCCCTGTATGTTGAGTGGTCCTGTTTCAGCAGAACCTTGCCAGACATCTCAGTATATTACACGTAACAGGTATCTGAAATGATGTTGCAGGTGGTTATTTTTATACTGCTAAACTCTATATAGAGCACAGAGATTAAGTTGTGATAACTTACAGAAAGCCTCATCTAAGGCTTATGATTGATATATAGCAAAACATATTAAACATCGTACCATAAAAAGTTTGGTGTTTTTTTTCTATCCAAAGTATAATTTATTTGCATTGTAACATTCTCTTTTTTTTTTTTTTTTTTCTTTTTTCCCCCGGTTCCAGTGCTGCATCCAAAAAACCTGCTGGAGATAGCAAGCCAAATCAGTGGGTGGAAAGTGACAAAGAAGAAACTGAGTAATGCACAAAGTCATGGGAAGACTCTGGAGTTGGCACTCTGCTATGTAGAAACTTGCACATAGAACAACTGCCTTAGACTTCCTAGGGTTGCCTGCTGGGTTGTTTGTTAGAGATTTTTTCATAAACTTATCATTCTCAAGTAAAACAGAATGCTGTGAGTTTGGCCATTCTTCTAGAAGATTATGTGGTGATCTGAATTGTGGCGTGTGTGTGTATGTGCGTGCACAAGGCTTTTATTTTTTAGACCACTCTTTGCCTCTTTTCTTGCAACTCTTGAAAGAAAATAATTGAAAAATATATAAGAGCTTTCATATTTTTCTAGTAACAGAAGCTCTGATTCTGTGAATGAAGTGATGGTCTCAAACTTTGACTATAATACTGGATCCCAATGTTACCTTTCATCACAGGCAGAGATAGCACTTTTAGAAATTGTTTAATTATTGGAAACATTCATTTATGTTTCAAGTGTAACTGGCATTAAAACTTCTTTTGCCTCAACTTGAATGTACAGTATACTGTAGATTTTTAACAAAACAGGTTCTATATTTATTGTGTGATTTGAAAATACCTCTTTGATATTTCAGATGACCTAAAGTGCAGAATCTTTATATATTTGTAAATAGACAAAGTGATTATGCTGAGAAACCATGAAATTAAACACATGCATACATAATATTATTTTACATGGCGTTTTAAATTGTTTTATAGTGATACTCAGTTTACAGATGCATTAGGACTTTCAATGGTTCAGTTGAGAACCAAATTATTTCAAATGTGAACAATAAACGTGTAATTCTATTCTAAAACACTGGTTCTTTGTTTTATGTGCAGTAAACTTTTAAGCTGTCATGATTGTAGGGCTGTATAGTATGTCAACAAATCTAGTGCTGGTTTTGTATTTTCTTAGTTCTTCATTTTAATTGACTCCAGATTCTTTTTTTGGTATAGCCTTTGGGAAATTTGTTTTGTTTATAATGTAATAAAAATAGCCAAGTAGAGGTAAGATGTTTCAAAGACTCCTTCACCAGGCTGAGAGCATGCACTTTTCCTTGCCCATTACAAATTTATCTTGTCTTTTATTGGGTTTTCGTACATCTGTGAATGCATGTGTATAGCTCTGATCCTAGTGTAATTGATCTTTTTTTGGGGAGATGTCTGAGAAACTTCTGCCTTTCTCAGGGTCATAGGGAGGAAACTAACCGAAGCTTAGAATCCTTCACTGAAAATGCTGCTCTGCTTGTTATCTTCAGAACTGGACGTAATGGAGTGATCTGTTGCATAGGTAGTCAGGTTGGAAAGATAATACAAATAACATCATATTTCTTTTTATTTACTTCTCCAGTTCCCCTTCAGTAAAGGGGTGATCACAGTCATGTCGTCATCTGAAAAGGTTTAGCAGTGCGTAGTTACCGTTGGGTTTACCCCTTCTCCACAGCGTGTTGGGACAGCTCTTGCCTGGATTTTAGCTATGGAAGAATAAATACACATATTCAAAGGTGTGAAATGGAAAATGTATCTTGGCAATTAAGCGGGAGAAGAGTACTTCACGTGCTGTCAGACTCTTGTTTTCCCTCCAGGAGGTGGTTGTGCTGAGGCAGTGTCAGTATGCCGCCAGGGGCTGCTGCGGGGCTGAGGCCGTGCCAGCGCGCTCGCCGGTGCTCCACTGGCACAGCAATGCAGTCAGCCAGGTCACACTTCTACTAGACAGTTTTTCTTCATGACAGTAACTTTTAGGATAATAACACCTTTGAAGAACAAATTAACTTACCTATTTAATCTTTTTTGTTTGGGCCTATCGAATAATTAGCAATTAATAAACATTTTGTACTGTTTTTTTTTTTTCTTTAACATTCTGTAACCCACCTTATAGAAGTGGAAATTCTTTTGAACACCTCCATGGAAGAACCAAGTGCTAGAAGTGTATATGGATGCAGCTGAGTCCTGTGCTCTTAGATGTGGTCTGGAAGTCTGGGGTATTGATTCAGTCCTGTCCCTGTAAAGAAAGAAAACATACCCAGAAATTTAGAATTGCTCTCTGTGCAGTTAGCAAGAAGCTTTTAAATCTGAAGCTGCTGCTAATAATGGTGTGAATACCGCAGCTGGACCGGTGACACTAATACTCCACTATGTTGGAAACAACTTCAGGATCTTTCTCATTGAGAGGCTGTTGAAGAGCAAAGGGGGAGGCAGCTTGCAGGAATGTAACACAGGTGTGCTGCTACACATGCAAATTTGAGGTAATAGAGCAAGTGGCCTACTTAAGAAGGAACAAGAAGTCCTGACTGCTAGTGACTGATCAGCATACTGTTCTTGTTAACTACCCGTGACACTGCAAAAGAAGCAATGCATATTGTTTGTCAAGATTTTGTGAACAAAACCACCATAGTTTTTAAGATCCACTCATCTCTTCAGTCTGCATGATGAGAGGCTTTTACCATAAAAACTTGTCTGATGAGGTATGAGAATTTACTTTACAGGATTAGATTACAGCTGTTAATTTTTTTTCTCTTTCATCCCCAGGGATTGAGGGTGATACAATACAGCTTTTGCAAATAATGAATAAATGAAAACTTTAAGAAAACTTTCTCCCTACAAAACAGCCTTTTTCCTAATTTGAAGAACTGCTTCAACCAGCTCTGTAGCCTTGCTCTATTTCAGTTGCAGCAGGAGAAAAATATTCCCATATGTATGAAAAAAATTCGGACCCCATTCTAGATTTTTTTCTCAGGGATCATTCTAGGTACACTTAAATCATGCCAAGGTAACTAATAAATCCCCAAGTTAGTATCAATTTAAACAGGTTATTCTTGAAAGGAAACCAGAAATATTTACAGGCAATGCTGTGTATGTTGAAGTAGCTTAGCTGCTACTTGTGCTGGGTTTTGGTTTTTTTTTTTTTTAATTTCTAGTTACCACAACATTTTTGTGTGTGAAGACATGGAGGACATCTTGCTTCTCTTCCCTTCCATGCCTCCTATCTACTTTACAACAGATGTAGATGAGAAGATATGAAAGGTTGATATAGTTGGATCTAAAAACTGACCCCCAAAGAAATGTTCATATTATCTGGTGATTTATTTATTGCTTTCAGTGAATACATCTGACTTCTAACATTCACTATGCCCAACAAATTTTCACTGTAATTAAAAAAAAACCTTTAAAAAAAATTCCTGATAGACATTGTGTTGTAGTTTTCACACTAACACAGTACTTGTGTTCCTTTATTCAAGTTTCAAGTTGTGCGAGATGTAAATTAGTTAGAATGCATAACATATGTTTGTTTTAAAGAAATGTTCAGTGATAAAAAGCTAATTACCATTGTATAGAAGAGCTTGCCAACATTATAGTGAAGAGTTTGTCACCTAAGGAACAAAACATGCTTTTTCCCGTGAACATAATAACAACTTGATAATGATGAAAATGACACATTTCTTGCTAATGTCCTGTCCCTCCCACCCGGCCCCCCTCAATGTAGTCTGCAGTGAGCTGGATGGCAGTTCCCAAAACAGAGGTTGTACAACCCCAGGTGGCTTTACAGCCCGGATGAAATCTGTTTGAAAAAGTCAAGACTTGTGGGACTGACAACCCAGAAAAAGCAGTTGCTAGTGGGAGACTAGAAACTCCTGAAATAGAAAATAAACGTTGATTTGTAGTGGTTGAAATAGCGTTTGCCACAAATCACACTCCTGTGGTTAACAGGTGAGAGCAGCAATAAAGTGACTGAATAACCAGTACATCGTAAATGTTAAATTAGAATCAGATTCATGTTTTTTGCATGACACAGAGCCCATGGTTTGTTGCATTGCCTGAAGTTACCCCTCCAGAAATGTCTTCCAATACAGAAGCCCCTGTGGGTTTTTTCTTGCCTTTTTTTTTTTTTTTTTTTTTTTTTTTTTTTTTTTTTTTCACTTTGAAAGACCCTTTATTTTTTGGGGGGGTTGACCAGAACTCATTACTCCCTTTTTGTGATTATCAATCTATTACCATGCTCAAAAAGGGCAAGCGTGTTTTGTGCATCTCCGCTTGCCCCCATGCCCCCAAAATTTCTAGAACAGCATGCTTGTGTGAAAGCGTTCCTGGGCTGGCGATGGATCTCAGTGATGAAGCTGGCTGCAAGCCTACATCAGTTCAGGTACTTGGCCACATTTTGTCTTTGGCTCCTTAGGAAATGCAAAAGTTCTAGCTGCTTCACTGCGAAGAGTCTCCGCAGCTTTTAATTGTTCACATTTAGCTGTCATTTACCTTGGAAGATAAAATATTTACAGATTGCTTATGAAATCTTTGTTCATTTAAAAAATATTCCTGGTCAGTGTGACCGGAGCTGAAAGGACACACTGATCCCCTGATTTATTTAAATAAATATATATATTCCATACATACAGGATTTTAGTAGCTGTTAGATATGCTTTGGTGCACATATGATTGTAAGAGTAGCAAGGTTTTAGCTGTCATCTCCTGTCTACAGGTGAGAAGACAGCTAAAGCCTTGCTATTCTTATATATCCACACACACCCCCTCCCCCCGATGCTGAGGGAAGAGAAAGAACACTTTCAAAGTGTGTGACACTGACTGTACTTTATTAATTGGGCCAACTATCAGTTAGATAACAGCTTGGGTCAGATGCCAGGTCAGCATAACCTGGGCAAAATCAGCCTAATCAGTGGCAGGATCAAATACCAGCAGCCAGCTGTGACACAATCTAGGAAATTAAGTAATGTGTTTATTGTAAATTTATTGTAAACGACCTAGTAAAATTGTTTTACTAGGATGAGTAGAAACTTTTAAACAATACAGCAAAGGGCTTATATGAAAAGGTCGGTGAGATGCCAAGGTATGACTTGATTTCCGTTATTCCATCTGAAGAGAAAGTATGATTGCAAAAAGAGAAGTGTTTACATAAACTGATAAAAAACTTGAGAATTCAGCAGAACACAGCCACGTGTTCCTGAGCTTTCTTCCATAAAAGTCTCACCATGTCCGGCAGAGCCCCATTCACCTTCACTATGAGGGGAATCATACTTGCGCTAGTGCTCACCCTTGTAGGTAAGACTACATGTTCCTCCTTTAATCTCTCTTCCCTCAAATTTCCCTTCAGTGGCAACAAGTGAATCTAGACTGACTGTTACTTATCTGGTTTCCATCTCTTTTTGCAGGTAGCCAGAAGTCTGACATAGGTAAGTAAATTTCCTTCTCTAACCTTCTTTTGGTGACTTTGTTGTGATTTCTGTTTATTAGAACATGCTTGCAAGTATCATAAAAATGGCTATTATTCCCCACAGACCCTGCATTCAGTAGCAGAAAGAGCTACTTGTACAGCTATGAAGGCTGGGTGTTGAATGGGCTTCAAGAAAAAAATTTAGCCAAAGCTGGTGTGCGATTGAGCAGCAAACTAGAGATCAGTGGGCTGTCAGAGAACACTTACCTCCTCAAGGTACCTGTCTTCTTCCAATGTACCATGCAACAGTGAAATCTATATCACAGTCATAACTGCATCTGGCTAATTTGTGCTTTAGTAAAGTTGTAGGAAAAAAACTGGAGACTGTGCTGTATATGTATAAGTGGAACAATCTGCAAGTTAAAAGTTTTGGAAGTGACTAGTGATTTGGCATCCAGTCGCTTACCAGTATTTGTGTGGAAATTGTTCATAGCAGCTGTTTCTCAAGACTTTTTGCTGGAAATAGAGGTGCCAAAATCAGGGTTTCCGTTAGAAAATGGTTATTTCTAATTCAAGGCATTCAAGCCTGCTCTGAGTTTATGATTTGGTTCTAGTCTCAACACATTTTCAACCAATGTGCGAAGCCAGGAC